GTTAAATCTGAGAACGTTTCTTTTGGGGGGCACCTATTTCCATCACACATGAGAAATTAACGCAAATAAACAGTTGTACGCCCAAACACGTCTTGTTTCTGCACTTGAAATGTCGTTACTAGGCCCTTAGGACCCAACACTGTTTCTTCTACTTTTCTGGTTATATCTCTTTCACACACGAAAACACGCTGGCCATATTTCAGACCTTCTGTCTCCTAGGTCAAATAACTGATATGAAACAATAACTGATGAAATCTGCCATTGTTCAAGTACATGCGCGTTTGAATTGGTACATCTGACCCCTGGTAATCTTTTTAATAATTCCCTTTCGCTGAACCAGAAAGCATGTGTTCTGCCAGCTTTCTTTGTGCTTGGAATCTCGTCCTCACTACCTTTAAATTGTCAAAGTAAACTAGAACCTTTTGTTCTGAATCACATACAGAAAGTGTACTAACGTTCACTAATGGACTTACATTTGCTTGATCAGGATTGCAGATTGAAGTATGAATCAATCTGCAAATCACACCATATGTTTTATAAGTCCTTCCAGCACTTGCAGTTGGCTAGGTTTTTCGAGGTCTATGCTACGTTCGACAAAGTTGACCTTCTTTATTTTTCTTGCAGTACTAGTTCCTAAAAAGGGTATACTCAAAGGACCACTTAAGTACCACGAAAGCAGTCATTCCTACAAAACTCTTCAGTGTTCTCCACTTCACTGTTGTGCTGGAGATAGTCTTGCAAACGAGAGCCCACTAAATGATGAATACAACATTCCATCAAATCATACTTTCTTTTTGAAATACATATATTTCAGTTCGTGGGATAATAAAATTAAAATCGTCTCTTTATATATAGTTTTATCTTATGGAATTTATTGACAAAATGACAATTACAATGAGTTACAATTTTGCATCATTAGAAATAAAAACAATAATTACATAACACATTCTACGCATTCTATGTCATTACTTTCTTGTTTTGCATAACATTTACTGAATTTTTTGTAAAATTCTTTAGTCTCTGGATACTAATGCTTGTCCCAATGTCTAAAATAGCAAATTATTAGACGACGTAATAAATTCAGGAGCAATGTAAGTCCAGCAACTACAAGCATTCTAGTTTCATTTTCCCACGCTTGAAAACAATTTATTTATTTTGTGGGAGTCGTATTGTAGTTGAAGCAATCGGTGTAAATCAGATACTCTCCGTCTACTTTCTTTATCAGGATGACTACTTTCCCAGGGTACAGTGGTTCGCCATCAGCATTATAGCACGTGAATCCAGCGGAGGCATAGTACAATTCGTTATTTTTAATGGTTCCATACCGATCTGGTTCATGAGGGTGGTAAGAAGCAACGTATTTCCGCATACGGACAAGTCCCTCCATAGCCCCTAAAAAACAATGTATTATATTTATCAGCACAGAATCAGTAAAATCCGGGATGAAAGTCATGAGACAATAATGAACTGGAATCATAGTTGAAGAAACAGGGCACAGAACTGGACGGTTTTTCGAGCAGAAACTGAGAACATAAGCCAAGTCGGGATGACCTTAGATAGCAGAAAGGACATTCACTTTAAATATAGATGCTGATGGACTTTTCGTATCACCTATGCATACCTGTGAGATACATTGAAATACGACACAGATATATAAAATATCAAATATAAAAACTGATCTATGGGTTACGAAGGTTGCCTTCGATGCAGTAATGACAAATTACATCGACTACTGACAATGAATATAATAGGTATTTGGGGGTGAATATTTATATTGATGGACACAATAGGTGATTTGGATAAATTATTAAGTTACCTTTATGATATGCATGGGGCTCTCTTTATTGTAGCTAAGGTTTTATTGGTCATGTGTTTTTAATACTAAAACTATTACATGGAGGTGAGGGCGTCAGTGAGGTTTAGCGTGTCACAATAATGTCCCTGGTGTATGAGGATGGTATCTTTATTTTATTATGTTAGGGTTTGTTTTTTGCGACAAGAATGGATCTGTGACTGTATTTTTAATCGAAGTGGTCAGAATTTCGTTGTTGGGTCCAAGTGGGATTTATACAAAACCGCTAAATTCTCATTGAATTCAACTTTTATTTTTGGCGCAGATTGCATTAATGCCGGAACTGCACATTTATCGACAATATTCAATATACATTGAAGACTATCATGTTCAATTGTGTCCTGATACAATTTAATTCTCATGATCATTTACAAATAAATCAAAAGAAAAAAATATATATAACATACAGTATACCAAAGATTACTGGGTTCCGTAATCAACAACACTGATATTGGATATTGGATATTGAGGTCAATCTTTGGCAGTTCAGTGAAAGAATAAAGTATCTTTAACAAAAATAGAACGTATATAGATGAACACAATCGGTGGTTGGAAAGAATATATATATAATGATGAACAAAATAGGGGATTGGGGGGAATTTGTATATTAATGTGAACATGAACGGTGTAAGTTCTTGGGTGTGGCGTAGGAATGAATACAAGACATATACACTAATGCCAGACACCATAATCCATACATTTGACATGATGTAGTGATTAGAGGTGAACAATTAAAGTGGGAAGTCATCACCTTCGCATGCGTCAGATGGCCATAGCGTGTCATTGTTTAGAAACAAGCGTCTACCCATGAGCCTTTGCGTTCTAGCGTGTGTTGTTATCGTCGCTTGGGGATCATTTCCCGCGCGTGCGCAGGTCACGACCCTCCCGCTTTAAACATACCTTCTCTTCCATGTTTAACCTCATTGCCAGGTGCCATCTGCTTACAGTCCGTGGTATATAACTCAACTAGTTGTCTTAATTTACCAACATTATACAGGGATGTGAATTTACGAACCACATCCACAGCTATCGCCTTTACTTCGGCGTCACTTATTTTAGTCGTCATATTTGTAGATATGACTTGATCAAGATCTATTAAAATAATAAAATAGTTCTATTATAATGAAATTCAGCTGTATGTATATATTTCATAACATGTGTACTGTAGATTATTTTCAATGGAATGACATTGGCGCCGTCTACAACTGATATGCAATTATTGTAATTATTGCTGAGTGTTATGGTTAAGTAATTTGAATAATAAAACGTGGAAATTTACATTATTATCCAAACAAAAG